TTTTCTCCATTGCGTCCTATTTAGTGTCATATTTTCATTTAGTTCTAGTAAATTAAGATCATTTTTAATACAATAAGCCCAAGTCTTCCTAGGTCTACCTCTGCCTTTCTTAACACAAGTCGAATTTAAAACATCTACTCTCCTAATCGGATCATCTAATGGTCGACGTTTAATATGACCAAACCATCTAAGACGACTTTATTCTATCCATAACTACTATTATATATAAATTGCACCCCAAACTTTTATGTAAAATTACACTACAAAACTTGCAAAAATAATTTATTTCCTTCAAAAAGTTCAAAAAGAAAACTACTTGTGATTTAGTAGCTCAACCTTTCTATTCTTATTGTCCATATTTTTAGTCTATCTAATTTGTGCTTCAAGTATATCATTCATCTTTTCAGTTTAAAATTAAAACCACTTCCACTGAATGGAATGCATATGATATCTTTAGAAATTTAAGAATTCAAATGAATCTGATATAATCCTGAGCTTCGTAAGAGAAAAAGATTAGCAGAAGGATGCAAGATAAACCAAGAAAACATAAGAAATCACTTCTCAATGTATGAATTTCATTCTAAAGAGATGAAACATAAAGCAACCCTTTCATAAACAGAGACTAAAAAGAGCAAATTAATCTCTCTAGCTCAAGTTTCTTCTCAGAATAAAAAACTCAACAAATAATATCAAGTGTTTAAACGTGGACAAAATCAGAGAAAATTCAAGGGCATCTAAGTCAATGCATAATCTCTCATGATTTAAAGCATGAACAAATAAAGCAAAAATTTACCATTGTGTGGGATTTGCTCAACTCCATTCACTGGAAGGCCAATCCCAATCCCAGCAACAGTGACACCAACACTAAAGCCTATACCACAGCCAGCACCAACGTAGCCAATAACCTCAGGACCAAACCCAGGACCCCATCCAATGCCACAGCCAATGCCAACCCCCACGCCCCAAAACAAACCTATTGTTGGGTGCACAGGATTCCATCTTTCATACCTTCTGAATATCCCCTTTATGATCATGAGAAACTGCTATAAGAGTTTACTAAACAATCAGTATCATACATCATAGGTGGTAAAATGATAAGAAATGCAAATGAAAATAAGACTATAATAACAAAAATGGAGTCGTTTAGTTGCCCTGCTACTATCAAAACCCAGATCTTCAATCAGAAAATAAGCAAACTTATAGATATTGCAGCACATATACCAACAAATCATAATATTGGTAAAAATGCATTTCCAGTAAACACATTTCTTTATATTCCCTATTGAATTGTTTTCATATTAAAACGAAAAGAAAACGTTCGGAATATGGTTTTCTACAGTGAGGATATCTCATTAAAGATGCCGTTGCCGATAGAATCCTTAAACTAGAATCACATAGCCAAATCTCCCTAAATAATCAACTCAAATCTCCAGAAACCTATTATGTTTATGTATTTTTTGAGATATTGACAGAAAAGAGAGATTAGGTTAGGAACGGATTCTTCTACAGATTTAAAACAAACAAAAATAAACCAAGAAGAAGAAAAAAGCAGTATCAGACAATTTACCAGACGGCCATTACCATCAACTACTCTGCGCTGAAGGTAAGAGTTGGGAAGACGCGGAAGTGGATTCCTGGAAGCAAACTATCCAGAGCCCCCGTATTTTTGTGTAGAATTGCCCCTTGCTAACTGGATATTTACTAAAGTGTACCTAGCCGGTTTTAGGAGAAAATTTTGTGCTTAAAGATGTATGCAGCGTACGTAAGAAAGGTTATTTAAAAGGTATTGGGTGGTTATATCTAAATTATACCTCCTGTAAACTCTCTGTAACTTATAAATATATGAAAACAAAAGTGCGACACTTACTAGAAGGTACATATAAGTTACATAGAGCTTACAGGGGGTATAACACAGATATAACCCCTCAATACCCTCTGAATAACCTCCATGACATATGTTGCACTGCGTACGTCTTACGTACACAAAATTTCTCAAGTTTTAGAGCTTGCATGACAATTTGTTTTTTAATTTGAGGATCATGCCTAATTTTATTCAATAAAAATAAAATATAAAAAATAAAAATATTTATAATTCAAAATTATAACCTAAGGCAAGTTGAACCAAGTCTAAGTTAGGTTAGACTTAGAATGGTTCATGTTTAGAGCTAGTGTAGGTTAGACCTAAGAATGACCCAAGAAAACTTTAGGTCTAAGTCGACCTACAGAGATTTGTGATGTGTTTTAGGTCTAGGTTGATTTAGACCTAAGCTTAACTAAGCCTTTGTTGGTATATCATGTGCTTTCTCTATATAACTAAATTATTAAACAATATTGTTAAGTTATTAAATAATACAAATAAATCACTGGGAATTCACTATACATTTTTATAATTATTATACTTATGGATGTTTTATCATTTAATTATATTATGATAGTTTAGACAGATTTATCTAATAGCTTAGTTGTATTATTTAATGATCTAATTATATTAAGGTCTAATAATTTATAAAGACAAAAAATAGCCCTATTTTGATTCAAAATGTATCAGGATATCCTCGCATAACGTTTTATCTTTATTTTAAATTTTAAATATGTATGCACTTATATATATAGAAAAAAAGACATTAGACATGTAATTATCTCATCAAATTAAAATTGAAATTCCAAGATCTTATCCTAATATTAGTTTCATTAGTTTCATGGACTAACTTCTTTACCCGCATTCGCCCGTAATGTGGGAACCCTTGCTTATTTAACACTACACCCGGGCGCCGGTGTAGCGGCCCTTGCACACTTTTCACTGTATTCAGGCTATACAGCGCGTCGCTTCCAGGGGACGCCCTAGCACTTACACAATGATCAAAAGGATTCATGTCATGATTTTTTCGACAAGTTTTACGCTGGCTGTCGACTACCTAACGCAACCCTCCACTTTTCTCATCCGGGCTTGGGACCGGCAACGGCAGTGTTTAAAAAAATTCTAAAAGATTGATACGTGACATATTCGTATATGAAATTGCATTTAAAATTTTCTTCAAATTGTCAAGTACTTGCATATGTTTAGAAGAACAAACTTAAGTAGGCACTACTAATTTTACTGATTTTATTATATATTCTTGGGCATGTTCATTAAGTGAAATACTTGCAGGTACATTCAAATAAACAACAATTATATATGAACCTAAATTTTACATGTAAAATGATCAAGGGAATAACACGAGTGTTGTGATAGGTAAACTATTGTGCTGATGAACTAACCATTTGTACTGACAAACTGCACATAAAATATAATTGGAACTAACCATTTAGTATTAGGGGATCGTTGATAAGTGTTATATTGGGAGATGATCAACTTTTCTTAGTGGTTGATATAACTGACGGGATGGGTGATGACCTAATGAAATGGATTAAGTCAAAGTCTATGCAAATATAAAGTGTTATTCCTAAGACAAGAAAATGGATAAATCAAGAAGCAATGCTCTACTTTTGCATTATGAAGATAAATCAAACTCATAAAGACACTTTAATTTGTCCATTCAACCCTAGAAGATCTTTAGATCTAGTCAAATTCTATGATAATACTCCAAATAAGCTTGTTAAAATCAAAGTGAAAAGGATTTCAATAAAACAAGCCTGTACAAATATTCAAACAATAAATATTGAGGTTATCAAATATAGGAAAATAGGCAAATAGATACTCAAGAGTGGGGGGTGCAAGTGAGTCAAGCTGATTCATGAGCCAGCTTGAGCTCAGATCGATAAGTGGCTCGTGAACTGAGCTCGATGAGTTAACAAGCCAACTCAAGCTAGCCCCGATTCGACTCGTTAGCTCGTGAGACAACTTGTTTAAAAAATATTAACATAAAAAATACTCAAAATATATTAAATTTCAAAATTTTATCTTAAAGGTATTAAAATGTTAAGAAAATAATATTTTTTATTGTATACTAGGTGATTTCTTATTATTTATCTCCTAAGTGTTCACTCTAATTGTCAACTTATTATAAAGTTATTTAAAATTAAAATCATTTTCACTTTTTTATATTAAAAAAGCCAGTTTGCGAGCCAGATTGAACTCGTAGACTTAAGATCGAGCTCGATAAAATTAATCAAGCTCAAGCTTAAGCTGAGGGTGGCTTGAGCTCGACGTGTTTACACCCTTACTCAAAGAGCAAAATGTTATTTCAATAAAGCAAGCCTACATGAGTACTACGATTGCACCATCGTCATATAAAACCTCGAGGACAAGAAACAATTGAAATTTGCTCAAGTTAATCTCAAGAATTAACTAAATGAAGACAAAATGAAGGGCAGTTAAGTAGAACTCGTAACTGATACCCAGACAAATGTCGAATCTCATGACACTATTATTTATGAACCATTGTAGCAAGTTATTTCAAAAATTTTGCACCATTCATGCTAGAATAGCAAGCAAATAAGTAAATTACAGGGACCAAATTAAAAATTGCAAGCATACATGAGAAAAGAAATAAACTAAATGAAATTGCACTCAAGTTAATCTCAAGAATTAACTAAATGAAGACAAAATGAAGGACAGTTAAGTAGAACTCGTAACCGATAACCAGGCAAATGTCGAATCTCATGAAACTATTATTTATGAACCATTGTAGCAAGTTATTTCAAAAATTTTACACCATTCATGCTAGAATACCAAACAAATAAGTAAATTACAGGGACCAAATTAAAAATTGCAAGCATACATGAGAAAAGAAATAAACTAAATGAAATTGCACTCAAGTTAATCTCAAGAATTAACTAAATGAAGACAAAATGAAGGACAGTTAAGTAGAACTCGTAACCGATAACCAGGCAAATGTCGAATCTCATGAAACTATTATTTATGAACCATTGTAGCAAGTTATTTCAAAAATTTTACACCATTCATGCTAGAATACCAAACAAATAAGTAAATTACAGGGACCAAATTAAAAATTGCACTCATATAAGAAATAAGCTTTAACATGAGAAAAGAAATAAACCTCTCCAACATGAACGGCAAAACGGGTGACCACAAGCTGCAGAGCACATCGCCTTCCGAGGAAAAACTTCAAAGCATATTCCACATGTCAGCTGACAAGGTAAACAATTCGGTCAAGTTCAAATAAACAAAATTGCAAAGAGTACATTTCAAAAGATAATCCTTAATATTCATTTCATAGTTAAATACCCACTGCATCAGCATCAACTTCTAATCATAAACAAAAGATGACAGTTGCCACATGCCAAATGTTTCAAGAATATAATTTATATCCAATCCTAAATAAATGAAAAGCTGAAATTCATATAACTTTCTTACAAAATGCATATTAAAGGATACTCAGGATCCAGAATATCAATTCAGTAGAAATTTATTACTTTATTTAGAGGACATATTAATAGAAATCCTTTAAAGAAAAAATCAAGGATTGCAAACATCAAAACTACTAATACTTCTTATGCATATTATTAAAATAAGGACAATAACAAAAATAATAATAATAATAAATTGCAATATCGAAATAAAAACTGAAAAATTGATTACTTTCTAGTTTATCAACATACTTCTCTAGTATTAGGCATCTCAACTTGCATCCCCAACAAGCCTACATCCCTCCGAACTGTATCTTCATCAGCAAACCACTCTTCATGCACCTTACTAACGCTCCTGTACAACGCAAGCGTAAGATTAATTAATCAATTCTTTCAAGGTCATGAGAACAAGGAAATATGCATTGGAAATCAACAACAGTCTCCCTTTCTTATACAGATAAATCAGCATAAAATAAAAAAAATAATATCAGATAACAGACATTTAATGCTCTTGCACTAACATCATCATCCTGCTCTTATGCAGGATCACTTTTCATTTGCTCCTCCTTAGAGCTGCATGAGATCACAAAACTTATTCTAGGTAAATATTTTTGAACAACTTCTATCAAGGTTATCTAAGATCCAAATAATTTCCTTCCTAATCCCTAAACATTAATTTTATCTAGTAATCTAATATATATGCACTTTCTACCTTCTGCCGTGCACAATCAAAACATATAACTCTTCAATTTATAATCAATAGTCTCTCACTATCCTCTAATGCAATCGTTCCTCAATTTATCATTTTCTAGATTTATCATGCATCTAACTCATCCTCATTTTTATGATACTCAATTTAGCTTTAAGCAGTTTTGACCTCTCAATGCTCGAACTCATTCAATATTTTATCATCCTCATTTTTAGCACCCTGATACCAGTGCCTTCAAGGTAAGGGAGCATTAATTTAAAAAACAAGTGACACCCCGCTCACCATACATGTCGAATAAATTGATCTCTTAGCATAGTAACTATATATATATGGGTGCCGCAAGCCGTGGCCTGTTGGTTGGCGGGGTTCACTGTAAGTCCCCTTAGGTCACGGGTTCAATCCCTGGTGGCGTGGGTTCTCAAATATTTAGGCACATGGTGCGGGCTCTCATCATGGGGCCTAGCGCATGGGAAATCAGTATTTAGCTCTGCCAAATATCAATTTTTTTTTTAAAAAACAAAAATTTTAAAAACTAAATTATTAGGACTGCTCATTCTACAGGCATGCAAATGAAGTGAAAAAGAATTAACCAAGTGTTATCCATGTATATCACCAGAAAGAAATGGAAAAATATCAAATGTAGCTCAGAAAGTATCAAGCGTTTCACTAAGCATGAAGAACTTGTACATAAATCAATTGAAAAAAAAAACAGGGGAAAATAGACATTATGCAAGAACAAAACCAGACCGCTTTTACTAGAAAAAGCTTACCAGTTAAAATGATGGAGAAGAAGACATGCATGAACCCTTGAAGTGGAAAGTACCATTGATACATTACTTATATCATCCACTTGGCGCTGCCTTATGTCAGTTTCATTCAATATAGTAAAGTTTTGCTGAAATAATGTGAAAAAAGAAAAAACAAATTGAAGAAAAAGCTAGCACATATAAGGTACAAGAAAAAAACAAAGAATAAATCATTCTAAGTCTGCGTAAGTAGGTGACATCAAAGCATGAGAGTAAAATGGATCTTAGGAAAAAATTGCAACCAACAAGCGACAACACATCACCCTTAACATTTGAGATTGCCAAAAAGATTAAGAAAACAACATGCCAAATAAAATAATTCTCTGTTTACATAACTGTATCACTAATCTGAAGTAGCAAACCTCAAATAGTTATGTAGCATTACTTGTGCAAGCAATATCATATTCAGCAGAGGAAGAGAAATTAGATAGAAGTTAAACCAATAAATTATTCCTGAAAGGCCAAAAGTAAAAGAAGCTGGAACCTTCTAGCTAATACCTTGATATCATACTGTTGAAAATTTTATATAATCATTTTTATGAGGACATTAAAACTCATTTCTTCTCTTTTAAAGATAAGGGATGCCATTACATGAGCTATTTAGTACTTATTAGCTTCATGCTTAAAGAATAAAATGAGACCTACAAACAATTGTTACAAGCATGGAACTTATGGATGGGATGATGGATGACTTCCTTTACAAATATTTTGCAGGTAACAAAAAGTTCCCTGCATCTCTAAGAAAATCACCCATGTTTCTACGGAGCAATTAACCCCATGCCCTCCCTCATGCAATGCATGACTCACAGATGGCTCGAGTTCTACCAGATGGCTCGAGTTCTACCACAAACAGTCATTGGGTGATCTCATCGTGATTGGAAACAAAAATAGTGATACCATTTTTTATAATTTAGCTTTAAAAATAGGACTTAAGGATATATATAAAAGACAAAAGATAAATTCAATAAACTTAAAACAAAATCTAGTATTTCCTAATTACTGATCTACAGCCAAAATTGAAAACTTATGAACCTCGGGTAAGGCTCCTGTGAATAAAATCTCACGTATTACAGAGATTTTTTAAGTTGGGAGGTGTGGTTTTTAAGATAAATATTTATATAGACAATATGTTTAAATAATTTCAGTAAACTTAGTTAATTATTCTTCCTTTCAATCTTATTGTGCATTTCAATTTGGACAAATCTGCAATTGTAAGCTGCTTTTGGCTGTAGGAAAATTTGGAGAAATAGAATAAGAGAAAGAAAGGAAGCTTGTTTCAAGTTGTACATTTATAGAATGAATGAAGATAAGTTACTTTAAAGATTTTAATGTGTTAAATTAAATTTAATTTAAAATTTTCTTAAAGATTAAGGGAATTTATGATGTCAGGTTATATGCACTAGACGACAAACTCGAGAAAAACCCAAGAAACAACATCGTGAGATTGAACCAACAACCTAGGTGAGATAACCATGTGAAAAAGTAAGAAGTAAAAGTAATATTAGAGTCATTAATTACTATGGTTGATTGGCATATTAATTTATCGTGTAATCAGCAGTTTGGCACCAATAAGTGGCCTATAGAAATTACTTCATATAGTTGGGTATCTGCATATTTCACAAAAAAGCAAGTTTAAATGTAAATTATTGATTTTATTGGCCTGATTGTATTCTTGTGCATGTCAAATAAATGATTTGTTCAGATACATAAGGATAAGTAGTGATTACATATAAAAACAATCTAACAAGTAAACAATCAGGGAAATATCATAAATATTATTATACATATACATATATTGATGAACTGCACAGGTAAGACATTTCGTTGAGATAAGCCTTGATAGAAAAGTGAATTGAATTTTCGACTCGATATTGACAAAGAAGCGGACCATTTGGCATCTGACAAGAACGTTAAAGAGTGTTATATTCAGGGCAACTAACCTCAGCAATATTTATTATAATCGATGGTCTAGGTGATGACTCAAGGAATGAGAAGTCAAAACATATGCAAATATAAGTTAATATTCCTAAATCAAAAAATTAAATAATAAGAATGAAAAGTAAAAATAAAAAAAAGGTATAAAAAATATTGCGTATTGGATGATTAAAAATATTGCCACTAGCAGTTTGATTTGCATTGACCACTGCTTTTCTTACATTTACTTTTATGTTTTATGTGTTCTTATGTATTAAGCATCATTAAGCATGGTAATATTAAGGTTTTACTTATACTAAACACTAACTAACATGCATATTATTATTTTCATGTATATTAAATTTTATTTTAGTGTTGACTATCTCACCAAGTCTGTATCTCACCCAATATAATGTTATTTTTCAGAGAGGGATAAAGAGCATAAGGGTAGTTAGCTAGGTGATTTGAGGTTTGTAAGAAATTTAAATAGTAAAGATTTTGGATAACTTTTAACAACTTCGGGGTACGAGCAATTTCATAGTTGTGTTTAATAACTTTAAACATGATTTGAGATTTATTTCTGCATGCTTACCTTTTTGATTTGATATGAAATGATGATTGAGAATATGAAATGCAAGTGTCTACTTATGACAGATGAATGAGATCAATCTTCCACCTACTTAGTATTTATTTATGCAAGACAGTATGAGTATTAGTGAAAATAGAGTTTGATTGGGTCATCGTCTGCTACACCACTACTTAATTCTAAAGGGGGCAGCTGAGATGTGACAACAACAAGGACACATTTATAGATACCAAATTAAAATAAAAAAAAAATATTTCATAGTAATAAATGGACATTGCATTCGTTCAACTCATGAAAATCATTACACTACGATTTACCTTATTAGCCTACAGGCTTTCATTCCTATTTACATTGATAGCAAGAAAAACTGCATAATAGGTTTTAAAATAACTTGAAGAGGGATTACGCTACTCTCTATCAACTGCCTCAACACGAGTCAGCAGCCCATCATGAACTGGGCCAAGCGAGTTGACTCCAAATACCTCTAAAACACTCGGTCACTCATACCAAGCATTTCTTTCTGCAACTAGCCAAGGAGTTTTTCAACTCAAACAATTGTTGAAGCAATTCAATCTTACCCAGAGTAAAAGTTGAATAGTTATTCAGCTCAACAAAGAATTCTTCAAAGTACTCAAACCTATCTGAGATAAGATTGAAGTAAATGCATGTAGCTCCAAAGTTCCCACACTTGGAAGCAAAGTAACACTTTTATTAGTATCAAAACTAAGTGCCCTAACAGATTCCTCACTTCCCCACATCTCAGTTCAAACTCAACTATCAAAAGAAACACCTGCCACAAAGATGGTGCAATCATCAACATCTAAATTTGTCAATTCAAAACAAAGAAGGTTCAAAATATATCATACCCTCAATAGGAAATTTTTCGCTCCTTGATTTAAGGATGATTTCCTTTTCTTCAAGAGCATCAATTTCATTCAAATCCAAGGGGCTGACCATGGATAGCTAAAGGAACTAGAATGAAAACAAACTTAAACATAATTAGCAAATTGGTTTCACAAATTAATTATTTAAAATGTTGTCATACATTATGACCCAGATTCAATCTGAGCAAGGATGGACAAAACACTCATTCCTTTAAACTCATCCAACCGATATTGAGGAGTTGATAACTCTAATTGTGTTGCAGCCCCTTCAACTAGAAGAGGATACTAGGTCTGCAAAGGCACCTCAAGAATTGAGGACTTGCCCAAAAATAGAGCAGATGTTGGCAGATTCATCGCTGGTAAAGCCTCCAAAACATGTGAAAAATCAATAGCGGAAAGACTAGAAGAAGTTCCCTTCTTGAGAATCTTAGTTATTCCTTTCTCTAGCCTCACTATCATTTCTTTCTTCTCTGACACCCTTTCTTACTTTAGCTTACCAAAAATGGCTCCAAGAGATTAGCCTTTAGAATCATAATCTTATCTTCAAAAGCATTCTCCACTTTCACAACAACGATAATGAAGGTAGGAAATTCTTAGGGGGAAAAAAAACAGCATGTGGATATGGATAACCTAACGAGAAACTTTCACCCATACTTATAGATGAACAATGAGATACACAAATCAGGAGGAAGTTAAAGAATCATAAATGAATTTATTAATAAATTGAACAAAGATTATCATTCTCTTATTTTTCTCACGGTATCACTGTTAAACTGGTAAGATAATCAAAAAATTAAATAGTATGATTAAAAATCCCTAAACTGGGTTTTGGTTAAGGCAAGAGCCAATCAACTGATTCGAACGAATGAATCATTACAATAGTTCGAACAGACAATTTGGCCATGTTTTTCAACTAAGATGTATTGATCTATCAGTTAGTTCAGCTTCTGCTCGATTGCAGATAATTCAACTCATTATTAGCTAGTTAAGTGCAACATGCTATCATGCAAGTTGTCCATAATAAGGTTGGTAACAAGTTCTCTTATCCAGTAAGGTCAATTATGCCAATCTTCCCAATAACCGAGTAAAAGCTAATCTTAAATGTGAATCGATTGATAAGACATTTAGGTTACACATTTAGCTACCATACACGAAGTCATACCATGTACAGAGAATATCTATATATATATATATATATATACAGATCAATTGGTCAGGCATCTGCTTGTCAGTTGTAAGTCTCCTCTAGTCTAGGGTTTGATTCCTCCCAAGTGTAGGGTGTGGTACTTCTTAAGCGCATGAGGGATAGTCGGGGCTCGTATAATAGCCTCCGGTCATTCCTTTTATGCAAATATAGATATAATTTATTAGAATTAAATGAAAATATGACACTTAATAGGACACAATGGAGAAAAAAGATTCATGTAGCTAACCACACTTAGTGAGATAGAAGTTTGTTGTTGTTGTTCTTGATCTTGTATAGTGTTGTACATAGCATATCTCAGCTCATCCAATCTATAAATACAGGTGGTCACCACGAGGTATGGAGATTCAATGAAGAGGGCAATTACTCCTTCAACAATAAAAGCTCTTGATAGATTTTCCCCTTCTTCATTTTTTTTTTTTTTATGTTATCTCTTTCGGTCTCTCTTCTCACACAACTCTTTACATGGTGGGATCCAGCGATGCATTTTAGGATCCGCATCTAATTAAGGTCAGCGAACAACCCAATTAGTTCAAACAGCTAACTGAACTATGGATGCAGCAAAATAACCAAAACTCGGCCTATGGAAAGGTTAATATATCAAGTTTTGAGTTCCTTATCCGCAGGTTTCTTCCAAATCAGACACATCACAAAATAACAAAAAACCTAACTGTGAGAAACATCATTTGCAAGCACCGTTACTTTAAACTAAAAATCCCTTCCCACATCAAAACCCCTTTGTGGCACAGATTCATCGAATCATACAAAACAATAAACTTTTAGCAGAAAGCTCCCTATTGAATTCTTTCATTACCTGCAGACGCTCGGAAACCATTTCATCCGATTCATCCGACTCGTTATCGCTGAAACCATACTTTTGTTCGTCTTCCTCCTCTTCGTTCCCCGCCGTCGTCGTCTCCTCGCTGTAGAAGTCATCCTCCATCGACTCCATGTCGCTGGCATCGTGCGTCTCGTAGTCCGATTCCATCCTCACAGACCCAATCCCAAAACCCTATCGTTACCGAAAATTGAAGAAGAATAGGGTAGATCAATACAGGATCCAGCGGCCGAATTCGGAAATTTTTCGCCGAAGGCGCGTATGATAGAGTCCGAATTGCGCACGAAATGGGGAAGAGAAATCTTGCTCAACAACAAA